CAGCTAGTTGGTCTATTCTTAGCCTCCGTTAACTTTCATCCTTGAAAGTCACCCAAACTCAGGCACACAGCTCCTGCTTGGCAATGGATTGCATTATTTCACGCCAGTGTGGGAATCTGGGCATTGAGGGCTTCGGTTCTTTCTCACATGGGTAACAAAAGGAACACATGTAACAAAATGATTCCAAGAGTGGGAAAGAGGTGCCCAGAGCACCCGGGGCAGGCAGGCAGAATGCAGGTCAAAAGCAAGGGCTTAGAGCCTTATAGACTTATTGTAGACAACTAAACTAATTAGGTATGTTATAGAGAGTTTGAGGGAGTCAATACAGAAGACAATCGAGGCCCATCCATTCAAAGCCAAGACTCAAAAAGAAAAAGTACTACTCTCACATACCTCCCTACAGATGAATAGCGGTGATTAATATTCTCAATAGACATCAATTACCCTAAGTGAGGACCGGAGCCTCCCTAGCCCATTCCTTCCCAGAAATCCTTACTCATTCCATGGTTGCTTGCTTTGTGACTTGTTTCCCCATTTGATCAATATTACCTAAGTGACTGTACTTGGAATCTTATTGGTTGATCATGGTTTTGTTGCACCTCTTGCCCACCTTGTGATTTTTCCATTAAATCTTATTAGTTGACTATAGCTTTGTCCACTTTGTACCCACCTCACCTCGTGGCTTTGCTCCATAAAAACCCCCTGAGAAACAAGGTCCCGGGCAACCCACTTTCTGGGTGTCGTCTCCTGTCCCTCTCAGGCAGGAGCTATCTTTCCCTCAATGAACATTTCCTACTCTTAACCTCCTTTGTTCCTAGAATTCATTCTTCAATTTTAGAGAACACAAAGCCAGCGTTTTGGATATCTAGCAGGTTGGGAGTGATACTATTTCCCTTGTTTGGATTATTTACATTATTTGGTGCCCTGTATCGGACCCAGGCTGGAGTCTGCAACCTGACTTCTCCTTACTGGGTGGTCTAACCGCTCCGTGTCTAGGTTCTCCTTTCTGACACGTGACAGTGACAAATATGCTGACACAGCCAGGCTGCTGTCAGGGTTAAGAGGAGTCATGATCCTGGGAAAACCTCCAGACGCCTCCTTCAGATCTGGGTCCAAGGCCAGCCCTGCATCTCTGGGAGGAGGGCAGGGCTTTCTCCATAGACCTCTCTAGTGTACTCTTCCTCCTTCCTCCTGTTACGGCACTCCACCCCTTTTGACTCTTCCAGTAGGCTCCCCAACTCAGCCTTGCCCTTGACATTGGACTGTTCTCTCTCTGGAGGCCTAGAGGCAAGCAAGGCCTGTGCTTTCCATCCACCTTCCCCTCAGTACTTGGAATTGAATCCAGGGCATTTACACTGGGCTAGAGTCCCTGGCTCATTTTTATTTATTTTATTTTATTATTTTTGTTGTTTAACCATTCTCTTTGCAAACATAGTATTTCCTATCAGCTTATAAAAGCTATTTACAGAGTGTTATTCTACTACTCCTACTTTTAAATATATCAAACACTTCTAGATATCTAGAACTAGACTTGTCATAAAAGAACTTACCTGTTATCATACAGCACTGATACATAAAATTGCACATATAGCCATGGTTGTAATCTGAGGTATCTTCTATATATGACCATCTTGGCCTCATGTCCTTCTCTGCCTTCAACCCAGTGGACAAGTACAGGCATATGTAATGTTAGAGATGGTTAAATCAAAATTCATTTACAGCAGACAAGTGTTGTGTATTTCAACATGAAGTGTACAGATGTGCTAAATTTACTACATTGTCATGCACTGGCAACCCCTTTAATGCTTAGGGACTAGATGTTGCAAAATTTGGACTTATTTGTCTGTTATATACACTACATACACAGCAAAACAAAACCTACAAAACATACAGAAAGATGATGTCTCAAAACATCCAAGTAAAACTCACTAACATAACACCTTTGCAATTGCTTCCCTCCTACCTCCTCCAAACCACTGAATAAGTACAGACAACACCATATTGCTCAAAGGTGGCTTAACTATTCCATTCCTAAAACACAATGTTTCATATGAAGTTTAGCAAAAAGATATTTACAAAGTGATATTTTACTACTTCTACATTTAACATACACTGAGCACTTCTAAACATCTAGATAAGACTAGATGTTTCAGGCTGAGGCTTTAGCTCAGTGGCACTGCGCCTGCCTCACAAGTGCAAGGTCCTGAGTTCAATCCCTGGTACCAAAAAAACCCAAAACAACTAGATTCAAATAAGGACTCAATTTATCTGTTACATATACATAGCAGTCTTGATTAAACTGCACACATGTAATAATAATTAAAAGTGTCTTGAAAATATGAGCAGTTTAGTCTAGAACCCTTCCTTTCTCCACTAACCGAGTGGGCTAAAATGCTAAAATTTTCAGAAGACAATCTTTTTTTTTGGGTACTGGGGATTGAACTTGGGACCTTGCACTTGTGGGGCAGGTGGCAGCACCACTGAGCTAAATTCCTGGCCCAGAAGATAATCTTTCCTAGGAATTTTAATATGAAATGTAAAAAGTTTGTTAGTTTACTAACTCTACTTTTATCAAAACCGGGAATTTCTTTAACATCTAGGAAGACTAGATGTTGTAAAAGGTCTCATTTGTCCTTTACATATCCTGCATACACAGCAAAGCAGAAACGCACAGACGCAGGGACAATGGTAACTTGCCTTGTCAGTGCACTAGCACAGTGCTCTGCATTCCCTTCTCTTCCGAGAACCAGTGCATAAACAATGTGTACTACTCAAGTGGGGGTTTGCCTGTCCCGCCACAAAATAACACTTCATGTGGACTTCTAACAAGAAGAAATTTACAAAATGTGTTATTTTACTACTTCTGCTTTTTTAACATGTACCAGGGATTTGAGAATTAACTCAAAAGACTAGATAGTTCAATAAAGTACTTAGCATTGTCAGCTGGGCAGGTGGTCCACACCTGTAATCCCAGCACTCAGGAGGCTGAGGGAGGAGGATCACCAAGAGTTCAGGGGAGACCTTGCCTCAAAAAAACAAACAAAACAAAAATAAAGTACTTAGCACTATCGTGTATATATATATATGGGGGGGGGACTGGGGGGAACTAAAATGCACACACAAAACAATGCTTACAATATGAACAATGTCTTCTACATGTAACCAGTCTGGTATTGGACATTCTTTTCTTTTTGTTTCCATTAAGTTTATTGGTACATTTTAGGTATACAATGCAGTTACATTCATCACTGGGAACTTGTACCTTTACATGATGCATCTTGGTTCTTATTTTTTCCTTCATTCCCCTGCCCCCTTCAACCCCTCCACTGCTCCCTCTTTACAAAGACATATTTTCCATTTTTTCCTTTTCTCATATTTTTTCCTTTCCCTTCTTTCCTTTCCCCTACCCATCCCACTTCCCCTACTCATTTAGACTTTTTCTTTCTATTTCACATTACCAATTATACATTTTGGTCCTTATTTTACACTTTTATTTTCTCACACCAGAGAAACTGGTTGGTATTTACACGTGTGTACTTATTTATTTCACTTAAGAGTAAGGGTCTTCTTCTCTTCTGTCTTCTGCTCCTTGTCCTCTAACCCACAGAACAAATAGACAAGTATCACTCCTAGTTGTCGCTTCTCCAGGTGGTCTATCCAACTCCATTTCAATGTCACTTTCTGTAAACATTTCTTCTGTCATCTTTTAAAACAAATGGGCGTTTCCAAGACGTGTGGTTTTTCTAACTACATTATACATGGGCAACCTCTTTACATCTATATTGTCCACTTGCAGCAAGTTTTCTTTTAAAAGGTTGGGGGGAATGTTGAGAGCAGCCTTTTCATATTATACACACAGGCCTTCTAAGAACGGCCAGTGAATCTTCCCAACAGGTGGTGGGCGCTTTGGCAACCGCCCATGGCCCACCGGCAGCTCCACCAGTCCTAGGACCCAGATCTGCTCAGTTCTATGGCCCGAAGTGGCCGAGCTTTCAGACCTGCCTTCTTGGGCCCTTCCCTCTGTGGCTGTCAGGGGGCCGCCATTCTCCTCACCGCCAAGCTGCAGCCACTGGGGGGCTTGGCCTAGGCTGGCAGGGCTGGACCAGGAGACCCTGCGGCCTGAGGGGTTCCATTCCAAGGCTTTCGCCACCATCAGATCGTCCAGGTGGGGCAGGGGAGCCGTTCTACTGTTTTACAGCCTGGGCGCAGCCAGCGGGCAGTCACAGCGAGGGATCCGAGAGCCGGCAAGGCAGAGGCGCACCCATCTCGGGCGCCCCAGGTCAACCACCGCCATTGGCAGGAGGGCCTGGGGAACCCTGGGGGGGCAGGTCTGCTCTATTTCTCACTGCACTCTCCCGGGCTCGATTTTATTTTGTTTTATTTTATTATTTTATGTGACAGGATCTTGCTAAGTCATTAAGTCACCCAGGCTGGGCTGGAACTTCTCCTGCCTCAGCTTCCGAGTGCTGGGACTACAGGCACGTGCCACCTCACACTGCTCCTTTTCAAACCATTTGACCCTGGTCTAAGGTATTCATACACCAAATAGTGACTTAGTGCTGTGGACCCCCATGTGCCCCTGCGCCCTCTCCCTTGCCCAGGCTGCGGGGAGGGGCCTGTAGGTCTGGGACCCTGAGCCCAGGCCAAAGGGGACAAGGGTCTCTCTCGTGGGAGGCCCTCGCAGGCTTCAGGTAGGCCAGGGAGCCAGACCGAAAAGGAGTGTGAGGTGCAGGAGGCGTGGACAGGGCCCCACCCCGACTCGGCGTCCCCTTCCCAGCCCGGTGGCGGTGGAAGGGACAAACGGGCGGGGAGAGGGGGCGGAGGGGACCAGCGACCCGGAAGGCCCTGGCGCCGGAAGGCGGAGGGTGGGGCCTGCGGCGGCGGCGGCGGCGGCGGGAGCGGGGAGCTGCGAGCCGGTGTGGACCGGGCGGGCTCGGAGCGCAGACGCAGTCGCAGATCAGGCCCGGGGGCCGTCCCGGGGCAGGTAAAGGGGCGCCCGGAGGCAGGCAGAACCCCGAGGAGCGCAGCCAGCACAGTGCTGCGGCCTGACGCTTACTGTGGCGGCGTGGAAGCCGTTCGCGCATGCATTTTCCATGTGGAGAAACTGAGGCACGCAGTGGCCACAGAGCTCCGCGCCGCGGGCCCCCGCCCTTGAATGGGAGGTGGGCGTGGGGGTCACGCAGCAGGCCCGAGTCCTGCGGGGTAGCCGACGGCCCTCGCCTCGAGCCCGCATCCGCGGCCTTGCCCCGCGGAAGGAGGATGGGGTGCTGGCTCCCCTGGAGAGGATCAGGAACCAGGAGGGTGTTTTCGCAGGCCGTCGGTTTTGTGCGGACAGTGAGCTTCGTTAGCTTTTCTGAGAAGCACTAGGGATCCTTTGAGAGGCTGTGGAATGACCTTTTTATGGACCAAATAGGTAGCTAACCTGCATGGCAACGCCAGTCTGGCAGAGCGGGCAGTGCCCTGCTGTGTGTGTGTGGGGGGGGGTGTCCTGGGTGGATGCCAGGCCCTGCCCAGCCTTGGACCATGTTACCACTCAGAAGGGGAGATCTAATGTGGCCTTCTGAGTTTCTAGGAGAAATCAGGAATCTGAAGAGAATGTGAAGTCTTACGTTTAAGTATTGGGAATTAATTAAAACACACAGACACACACACACACACACACACACACACATTTTGCAGGCTAATCTGCAGTGTTGGTTGGCAGCACCCACCTGTGGCCTTTGCCCTGAAGCATAGAGAAGAGGGGAGGTAAGGCTCACCAAGTCTGAGGACGCCTAGAGTTTTGTGAATCTCCCAGAGAGCTGCAGGTGTGTGAATCAGAGCAGCTTGGCCCATCTGCAGTCTCTGCAGTGCCGGGTCCTTGCACGTCTTACCTAACAGTTCTTGAAAAGAGCAGAGTGTGGCTGCGTGTGGTGGCTCCTGCCTGGCATTCAGGAGGCTGAGCCTGGCAGACCAAGGATGGCAGGGCACGGGGTCCTCAGGCTTCTGGTAATGGGGTCCCCTTTAGTCTTCAGGGGGTCCTTCCTGCGCCTGGGCTGTGCCTCCCTCTTTCTTGCACAATTGACAGATTAAAATCTGAGTCTAAACCAGAGCCAAGCTAGAAGGTGATTAGATACAATACAATAGGATTTTTAGCTTTTTGAAAGATTTCACTATAAAATTAATTCTTTAGGTTACCTCCATATGCACTTGAAATAAAACTCCTTTTGTTTGTTCACATAGCTTTTCAAGACCATGGCCACTGAGTAAGTCCGGTCATGCCCTCCATCTCCCCAATTCTGGGTGGCTTCTGCTGTGTTTTTTGGTTTTGGTTTTGGTTTTTTTTGGAGACAGAGTCTTGCTTTGTAGTATGGGCTGGCCTTGAACTCACTAACTCACTAACTCACTATGGAGCCCAGGCTGGCTTTGAACTTGTGGCGATCCTCCTGCCTCAGCCTCCAAAGTGCTGAGATTACAGGTGTGTACCACCGTGCCTGGCTGCTCCTGCCTTGTCTAGTGCCTTCCCTGTGATACTGTGAATTTATTGTCGTGATCTGTGTGGACCGGTGGACAAGTCCTTATCACTAGAACAGGGAAGGAGGCTGTAATCTTTTGGTGGTGGGGAAGGCCAGCCTGCCCTTGGTCACGCCTCTGCCTGGTAGTTCCCTGCCAGCACAGCCATTTCCTGACTCCAGATAATTCTTCTAAAGGTCATTTTTAAAAAGAAGCAGAAAGTGATTTATTAGGCAGAAGTTTTGGTGGTGGAATTTGTGAGTCTGTAGGAAGTTCTGTCCTGTTCTTGGTTGGGGTCTCCATCCACAGGAAAGCTAAAGGCCCATTTTACAGGTGAAAGGCATGAGCCCCATCATTATTTTGGATAGATATAGGAAGTTTTGCTTTAAAACCATTCTTTGAACACTTAAAATCTCTTCCTTTATCTTTTTTTATTTTTGGTACCGGAGATCGAACTCAGGTCCTTGTGCTTGCGCAACAGGCTGCGAAACCACTGAGCTAAATCCCCAGCTGGCCTTTCTTCCTTTATCTTATGATTAGGTTTCTGCACTTTATTTTACCAACTAAGATAATTTTTAAAAATTATTCGTTTTATTTAAGCTCTCCGATTTCTTTTTCCCCGGTACCAGGGATCGAATTCAGGACCTTGTGCTTGCAGGCAGGCACAGCACCACTGAGCTAGATCCCCAGCCCCCCAACTAAGCTAATTTGTAAACTTAAGTTTCTTTAAGGGAGTTTGGGTATGACAGGCTTAGAAGAAAAGAAGCATAAACAAACTTCGGGAATATTGCTATAGATAACCGTGGGTAACTATGTCCTGGAGTTGCAATCTTCTAAAACGTATAGTTTTTAGTTCTGGTTTTCCTTATTTCCTTTCTACCTATCTTTATTTCTTCTATCCTACCTCATTTCCCCCAAGTTTATTGTTCTAAAGGTCCATCTGCCATCTGATCAGGCCTGTGATCCCAGCACTCTGGGAAGCTGAGGTAAGAAGATTGTAAGTTTGAGCTCAGCCTGGACAGTTTAGTAAATTAGCAAGCACTTGTCTCGAAATAAAAAAAGGCTGGGGATATAGCTCAGTGTGAAGTCTTTGGGTTCAACCCCAGTACCCAGTAGTTTTTATAAAAATAAAAATGAAAAGAGAGGTCCATCTTCCATCTTTCCAGCTAGAGTAGACTCTCAAGTTTTGACCAGCCTGACATACGAACAACTTGAGTTACAACCGGAACTTTAGTTTTATCTTACGACCAAGGTCTTGAGTTACAACCTGAATGCTGGCTGCTTGTGCTTCCAGATGGTCTCAGATACAGATTTAGCCCTTAAAGAGTTTTGAAGGAACATTACAACATCCTTTCCTGTCCGGGGTTAATTGAGAAATCCTGGGCCAGTGTCTCTCTAAGAACACTGAGATCTGCCTGTGTACAGGAGAGAGACTTTAAAGGCTGTGTAGAGGAGCCCGAGCCTTCAGTTCACCAACCTGAGCTACAACCAGCCCCCGGGAATGAATTGAGTTTGTAAGTCAAGGGTCCACTGTATATTGCAAACTCCTGGAAATTTTTATTGTCAGCTTGCTCATCTTACACCTTCATATTGACCCCATTTTTTTTTTTTGGTACCGGGGATTGAACTCAGGACCTTGTGCTTGCAAGGCAGGCGGCAGAACCACTGAGCTAAATCCCCAGCCCCGTGGCCCCACTTTTACTGTCTCGTGCAGACCCGTATGAGCTTTTAAGAGTAGTTGCTGCAGGAAGTTGACACACGGTCTGCACTATCCCAGACCCTCACTTGTCACTCCGCATCCACCCGAGCTTACTGGATGGAGCCTGGGGCTGGTATATGTCCATGTGAAAGCCAGGTCTGTGACAGGAAGGGCACAAATCAGTCAGATGCCAGTGTGGCCCGAGTTCTCTTTTCTTGGCTTGGTATTAGCTTACATGCCCTGTCATCTGAAAGAGGGGCCGGGTGGGACTCTGTGTTTGAGGACTTCCTGAGCCAACTGAACTGCCGCTGATGCCTTGGGTCGGCCTGGCTTCCTTTGGGATTGGGTAGAGCATGTGGTTTGTGTTGCTTTTGATCTGTTACAAAACAGAAGTTCATCAGAGGCAGAAAAGACCTTTGGTCCACTCTGCTGCTTCTGCTTGCTTAGGAGCTAACAGCTGCCCTGCTTCTCTATGACAGAGAAGTTTCCACGTGACTAGGTCTCACAGGCACAGGGCCAAGCTGTTGCCTTTTCCAGGAAGTGACAACCCTTCCTCAGAGCTCCCAGGAGAGTAGCATTGGGGTGGAAGTTTGCCTGCTCTCATGAGAGCTCTGCCCTTGAATTCACCTTTAAGGTCTGCCGAGATGCCCATCATGGTGGATGACATCATGAGGCTGCTCTGCTCCATTTCCCAGGAGAGGAAGATGAAGGCAGCAGTCAAGCATTCTGGGAAGGGTGCTCTGGTCACAGGGGCCGTGGCCTTCCTTGGTGGTTTGGTTGGTGGCCCACCTGGACTAGCTGTTGGTAAGTACGCGTGTCTCCCTTGGACAGCCAGCCTTGGTGGTGTCAAAAAAGGGTCTTTGAAATTATAGAGAGGACCACCTTGTAAGAGTGATGCCTGTGCCAGGTGTAGTGTAATTTCAGCCCTCGGGAGGCTGAGGCAGGAGGATCACTGCAAGTTCGAGGCCAGCTGGGGCTACATAGTGAGTCCAAGGCCAGCCTGAACTATATAGCGAGATCCTGTCTGAGAAAAAAAGAATGATGCCTCCACGTGGGGTTTGTGGAGTTAAAGTTGCATCTGTGAAATGATCTTTCTCTATCTAATCTGTCCCGTTAGGACACCTAGGCATGGTGGTGCATGCCTATAATCCTGGCCCTCTGGGGGAGATGAGGCAGGAGGGTCAAGAGTTTGATCCCAGCTTGGGCAACTTAGCATCTTAATGAGACCCTGTCTTAAAATAAAAAGTAAAAAAAGGGCTGGGAATATAGCTCAGTGTGAAGGCCCTGGGTTCAATCCTCCCAACTGAAAATGAATGAATAGGGCCGGGGATTTAGCTCAGTGGTTCTGGCCCCTGCCTCGCAAGCGCAAGGTCCCTAGTTTGATCCCCGGTACCAAAAAAAAAAAAAAAAAAAGAATGAATGAATGAATAAATAAATAGAAACATAAGCTTCTTTGTGGGTGCCTCAGAAGGACAGAGTGCTCTTGGCTATGACTTTCATGTCCCTCAGATACTGGAGGAGCCCTTTCCCCAAGTGGAGGATCCCAGGCCCACTGACCCTGCTGCTGTCCCCCAGGGATGAGTCCTGGAGGCTAAAGCTAGGCGTCTGCGACCTTCAGGTGGCCCTCTGCACATGCTCACCATCGTGTCTCTTTGGCAGGGACCTGGTCGGGGAATGGGGGTTGCTGAGCCCCTACTCTGAGCAGAGGCTGTGCGGCAGCTTCCGGCCAGTTTCCCCTGGGCAGTGTGTTCAGGGCCAGCTCCCAGCTTTGAAAGAAGAACACCCACTGCAGTGGCTGGAGCAGATCAGCCTGGGAGCTGCATTTGCTATTAGAGCAGTGTCTCATTCACCACCTGCTTCAGTGGAGGAGCCAGTTTCTAGTGACAATGAATGTTTGGTCTACCTCTTCTTGTTCCATGAAGCTCAGGTGAAGTTTCTTTCTCTGGATTAGGGGCAGGAAGAATTCCCATGTCCCCAGCCTTGGAAGAGCCATGTAACTCAGATTGTGGCCCAAGAGGTGGGCTAGGGTGGAGTCAGAAGGCCACCGCCATCCGGGGGACTGAGAAGAATTTGAACTGGTGTCGCTGTGATGGCTTGCCATCTGCCACGCTGGGCTGGCCAGATATTTGCCGAATGCCTGCCCATGGTGTGGTAAAATCCTTCTGTTATGCGTGACAGCCTCCTCGTGAATGTGGGCTGGAGACAGAACCACTTTTATGCCCGGCTGACTTCTGTTTCCCAGCTGGTGGGCAAGGAAAGCTTCCTTCTCTCTTCTTCCCTTGACATTCAAGGACATTTCCTTAAACTAAAGCTGCACTGGGGAGTAAAACAAGTGTGGGGGTCGCCCCAGACCTGCGCAGTGTATCTTTCCCTTTCCAAATTTGGTGAGTTCTCAAGTCCTGACTTCCGCTCCTTCCCATCCAGGAAGGAAGCAGAAAGGGAGCAGACAAGGCCACTTCCGTGTTCCCAGATGGTATTCTAAATTCTGGCCCCTACCCCATCTAAGCGCTCATGGGGCACCTCCCTGGGCTCATCTTATTATAGTGCTGTGCCCAGTGCCATCTGGGAGCACATTTTATTCAGGTTGGGTAAAAGCTGGTGGACAACAGCCTGTCTGCTAAGAGAACCCAGGGGACTTGGTGCTTCCAGGTCCTGGTCATGGGTAGAAGCCTCACTTTACCCGGAAAACAAAGGACTTTTCTCTTCGCTGAAGAGCTAGTAATTTGTTGGTTGATATTCCTGGTGACTTTTGGCATTAAGTGCTACTCTAAATCAAATATTGTTGTTCTCATAAAGGTTTAGCGCAGAGGAGTGCAACTCTAGTCAGCTCTGTGCGTTTCACTGGTGTCGTGGGGAAAAAGTTCAGTGAAACTTGTACATTGGCTGGCTTCCCTCTCCAGCATATTCCTTTCCTCCAGGGAGGCCACAGCCTGGCCCTGGTCTCGGGATCAAGGTGGTGTCTGCACCAGGGTGGGTTCTCTCTGTCCCAGGGTGGGTTTTTTTTTTTGGTACTGGGGATCAAGCTCGGGACCTTGTGCTTTCAAGGCAGGCGGAGGAACCACTGAGCTAAATCCCCAGTCCCCAGGTTGCTTTTTTTTTTAAAGTCTTCTTTCTTTCTCCCTTCCTTCCTTCCTTCCTTTCTTTCTTTTGGAATTGAATATTTTATTTCTTGTTGGGTTGCAAAGCTGTTGCTTCACTGTATAAAAACAGCACTGAAAAATGCAGCATATCGTAAAATTGTGACAGTATTGTTCTCATCTGACAGTGTACAGCTCACATACGCTTTCCTCCACTCCCACGTATTTCCAAGGGGAAGATCATTTAAGTATTTTGACCCAAACCCAGGGAGGAATGTAAGCAAGTTATGGTATTACAAAAGGCTTATGATAACTGTTATCTTCTATATTATTTTTTATAAGTATATTTTATGATAGATAATTACATGAATTCTGAATATCAGAACCTATATCCTAAGCCAGGCATACCTGTAATCTCAGCACTTGGGAGGCTGAGGCAGGAGGATTGCCATAAGGCCAACCTGGACTACACAGTGAGTTCAAGGCCAGCCTGAACTATATAGCAAGACCCTGTCTCAAAAAAACAAGAACAAAACAAAACAAAAACCTTGCAGCCTCATCTAAAACTCATAAGGTATAAAAAAGATGTATATTGTGTTTATCTGCAATCATTAGGAAATTAAGGGGTATTTTCTTGCAGTAGCAGTGTTGAGAGTAGTTTCTTTACCATCTATCTATCTATCTATCTATCTGTCTGTCTGTCTTATCTATCTATGTATATATTTATTTATTTTTGTACTGGGGATCGAACTCGGGACCTTACACTTGCAAGGCAGGTGCCAGAACCACTGAGCTAAATCCCCAGCCCTCCCATCTATATTTCTAAAAGTTGTCATCTTAAGTCTTCTCTCCACCACTAATTTAGACAGTGTTGCTGGAGTAAGTTATTTCATACTAGTTTTCGTAGGGGTGCTGCTTTTGCTCCTCAGTAGATTTTACATGCTTCTCATACGCTGCTTTGTGCGTGAGTTCATCCAGTTTGAAGGGGGCATTCAGTGTCGTCTTTACCAGCCAGCTGTCTTCCCAGCGGGATTCACCTACAGACCCTGGATCTTCTGCAGGTCCTTTCCTCCTGATAGAGGAGACCTGCACTCACTGGCAGCTTTCACTTTCCAAGGCACTGAACTGCTCTTGCTTTTATCCCAACTTCAGGCAGACCATGGTAAACAGTATCGCCCCAAGCCCCCTGTGCTGATCCCCATGTTCCACTGCCATTTCCTGTTGCCATCTGTCCACATTTCTCTGTGAATTTACGCACCGTGGGCAGAGCAGTCCTGGTGAGCAGCATCTGTGTGATGCCCACCCACACGGGGCAGGGCGCAGGGCAGGGTCCGGCTGGGTTCACCAACTCTTGGCCGCTCGCCGTGCCATGTCCGCAGGGGTAACTGGGGTTGCCAGGCTGCACCTCGGGCCTAAAGGAAACTTTTCATTTTGCAGTAATAATAAGTTTACAGAGAAGTTGCAAAGGTTGTGTGGAGAATAACCTCCATCCCTCCCCCTTCCCTGTTTCCCCAGTGCTAACGTGGACCACGGTGCACTGTGGGAGCTGAGACACCAACACTAATGCGCGCGCGTCACTGTCTGCTCTTCCTTGGCCTTGCTTTAGCCCCTCCAGTGTTTGCATGAATAGTCTTGTTTTGCAACATTGTGTTGGATTGCCCTGATTCTCTGGTCTCTTCCGATCTGTGACATTTTCTCAGACCAAGATACCTGATCCCTTTGAGGAGTACTGAGCAGATATTTCATAGAATGGCTCTCAATTTGGGTTCATCTGACGTTTTTCTCATGGTTAGACTGGAGTTATGGGTTTTTGGAAAGAATATGTTGGAGGAGAAATGCCCTCCTCTTGCTTCGGTCCAGGGGGACAGCACAGCTGCATGACATCACTAGTGATGTATGTGCTGGGTTTTTCTGTTGTAAAGTTTCTGTTTCCTGTTCTGTCCTTCGGGAGTGAGTCACTAGGTCCAGCTGGGCTGCGTCTTTAAATATCTGATTGCTGATATTTTTAAATTGTGAGACATTTTAAAGACACAGATCTGGTGTTCTGTGAGGCAGCAGTTGTCTGGCATAGGGTCGCCTCTAGAGACAGGGGCCCTGCACCCCGGGTCCCCACAGGGCTGCTCTGCCCACTTCTCTCCTTTTGATCACCCACCTGGGCCCCCAAAGGGACTGGCGTTTGAGACCCCAGGGCACCGTCCCTCGCCCCATGCCATCCTGTGTGTGGCCTGGGTAGGTGGAACTCTCCATTGTAGGGTATCCGCAGGTCGCAGAATAGCATGCCTTAACATTGGCAACGCATTTGGATTGTTAGAAAACGTTTGTGCCCTTCTTAGGCAGCAGAAAGAGATGTAGTAAGCTACATTCAGTTTACTACTTGTCATCAAAAGACCTGGAGGGGCTGTATGAAAAATATTGCTTCAAGAGACAAGAACCTTATTTTCTGTCCCCAGGGCCCTTTAGCCTGGAAACATCCCAGCTCAAGGGCAGATTTCCTGTCTGCCACTGATAGAGGAAGTTCAGCTTCACCATGGAGATGGCTTTCCTCAGAAATACTTTTGCCTCTCAGCCCTTCTTAGTGATGAGAGGGACGCTTTGCTGGCACAAATGCGGGGCCTTCTTCTGCCCATGAAGAGGATTTTAGCTGGCACAGTCCAGAGGTGGGGGTGGCACTTGCTTCATTTTGCCTCTCTATGAGGAGCTCAGGGAAGGTGTCTGGGTTCCATTATCTGGGCCCAGGGACTGAAGGCCACATAAACCTTTGCCCTCTATGCTTCCTAGAGGAGCAGGGAGCCCAACTCACTCTGAGCTGTTCACCAATGTCCCCATTCGTCACCAAGGTGGACATGTGCTCAGCGAGAGTCCGACACCATCGATTGGAGGAAGGCTGGCTAATTGAACCCTTCCTTCTTTTCCAGGGGGCACTGTCGGGGGTCTCCTCAGTGCCTGGATGACAAGTGGACAGTTTAAGCCAATTCCTCAGATCCTAATGGAGCTGCCCCCCGCCGAGCAGGAGAAGCTCTTTAATGAAGCCACGGCCATAGTGCGGAGCTTGGACTGGACCGATGCTGTGCAGCTGACCACGCTGGTCATGGGCAGCGAGGCCCTGAAGCAGCAGCTGCTGGCCATGCTGGTGAACTACGTCACCAAGGAGCTGCGAGCTGAAGTTCGGTATGACGACTAGGCCGCCGCGCTGGGGAAGTGGGTGAATCTGTGACTGTCAAGGGGGCTGCTGGGCCGGTAGGGAAGCCTGGCAGATCCCCCTGAGAAGGACACACGTCACCCGCATGTCACCTTACGCTGCAGCTGAAGGTGTTGGGCTGCATCACGGCCTGGTGACTCTTTCTGAGGAAGCTGTGTTTTATGCTAGTTGCACTCCTGCTGCCCAGCAGCCTGAGGAGCTGCAAAAGCAAAGACAGCCTCTTGCAGGAGTCATGGCCACTCTCCCAGTCCTCTCCCTCAATTTTGCAGGGGCCTGGAGAAGTCAGCTTGCACCATGCCTCGCTGACCACACTTCCTGCTCCTCCTCATCTCCTGAGGGTGGCTCCTCTTCCGGGCCCCTCTTGCAGGACTGGACCCCTAGGCTTCTGGCTTGCAGGGCCTCACAGCCAGCCCTTGCCAGAACCCTGTTACCTCCTGAGTGTGCGCTGCCCCGCCAGTGACTTGAATGGTCTCGTGGGGAGAAAGACTGAGCCACAAAAGCCACAAAACAATGGGCCCTCCTCCCACTGGCTGCAGGCCTGGCCCCTCCCACAAAGAGGGTCTTGCCTTCCCCCTCTCAAAAGTCATAGGAGTTCTTTTATTATTGTTATTCTGGCTGTTTTTATTCTCTAGATGTAGGTTAAATATCACTTCACATATTTCTCCCCCCGAGACATGGTCTTACCATATTGCCAAGGTTGGCCTCGAACTCCCGGGCTTAGGTGATCGATCCCCCTGTGTTGCTGGGACTACAGACTTGTACCTGGGTGCCCAGCTTCAGCTCAAAGACCACATTTCACTATGAAGCCCAGGCTGGCCTTGAACTCAGGCAATGCTGCCTCAGCCTCCCGTGTGCTGGGATTATAAAGCCAGCGTCACCACGCCCGGCTCCTGCCACTTTATCTAAGGTAAGCCCTTCTGTTGTTCCCATCCTGCTCTGTTGCTTCAGAAGCCAAGTCATAACTCATAACTTATTTGTGTCAAAGGCAAAATTACAACAAAGTGAAAGATCTTAACTGAGCTGGCTACGGTGGAATATGGCTCTGGTCCCAGCTACTTGGGAGGCTGAGGCAGGAGATTCACCTGAGCCCAGGAGTTCAAGACTAAGCCTAGGAAACATAGTGAAGCCCAGTTTCAAGAAAAGAGAGAGTCAGAGACAGAGAGAGACAGATCTAATTTGGATTTTATTCACACTTGTAGAATCAGGCGACACCTTATTCTATAAAATAGAATGAGTGTATGGAAGAGCCAAGTGGAAGAGGTAAATAGAGAAAGCTGAGGGAAATCAGAAACAGAACAAAAGATGCATTGTTTCAAACTGGCCTTCTTCGTAGAGGTTAAAGCAAAGTGCCTTGTCACCCCAGGAAAAGCTGGCTTGTTTGGGGGGATATGGCTGTTCTCTCTTTTTTTTTAATTTTTGAGACAGAGTCTCACTATGTAGTTCAGGCTGGCATTGAACTCACTGTGTAGCCCAGGCTTGCCTCAAAATCAAGGTGATCCTCCTGCCTCAGCCTCCCAAGTGCTGCGATTACAGCCATTTGCCACCATGTCTGGCAGCTGTTACCTCTTATCCTGATTTCTCCAAAAGACCATGAGTGATCCTGTTCTGGTTTGGCCCATTGGGTCTGGTTCATGAGCTCAGTCCAGGGCAAATGCCTCTCACACATTCAACTGAACCTTTCTTCCTTAGCTCTTTTTATCCCCTGTTCCTCTTAGAAATATTATGTCAAGGAGGATAGGATGGACCTCTGGATCTCCTCTCCCCAGCCTAACACCATACCCATCATGTGGTAACAATAAGTATTTTGGAATCAGTGTCTTTGAAACACTTTATCTAACTCCTCCAGTGAGGAAACATGCTTCTCTCTTTCGCAAACAGGGAAGGCAAGGGTCAAGTTTCTAACTTCTCTGAAGTCCCTGAGCTACTAACAGAAGAAGCCAAGACTTGAATCCATGTCTGTACAATCCCAGAGGCCTCTCTGAAGTACCTCACAGAAGCTTCCCAGTTTGCAGGAACTGGTAGTTCTTCAGTTAGATTTTTAAGTGAAATTTTTTTTTTTTTTGGTACCAGGGATTGAATTCGGGACCTTGTGCTTCCGAGGCAGGCGTCAGAACCACTGAGCTAAATCCCCGGCCCTTAAGTGAAATATTTTCAATAAGAAGTCTTGTTCTTTCTGAAGTGGTGATGAGGCAGAAGATTAGGGCCTGGAAAACTGGCTGGGGAAGTTCCTTAACCTGTCAATTACACAGTTCCAGGAGCAGGCCCAGAATAGCTCTGCATGTGGAACCAATCAGAGAGTGCTGTCTTCAGTTCTCACAAGAACCCAAGCAGGTTTCTGATAGGCCGGCCTAGACCTGACCTCAGCCTGAGGAGTGGGAGATACAAAAGATGGCGGCCATTTTCCTTGTGGCCACTGTGCTCTCTTTCACAGTCCTCACGCTGTAGCGTATGCTTCTTCCCCCACTTTTATTTGGCCCAAACTCATTCTGCAGAGTATATTTCTTTCCTTTTCCTACCTTTTAATAAATGTGAAACTTTGCCACCTTTTGCACTTGTCTTGACCAATTCTTTTTCAGGACAGAAAGAATCTAGAAACCACCTCTAAAAGGAGATTCTAGCACCCCATAACCCATTAAGAGTGGGATCCTAAACCATTGAAGGAATGTTTCTACTCTGTTATGGTTTATATCTAGATGTCTCCCAAGAGCCTCAGGCACTCATAGGTGAGGCTTTTGGGAGGTGGTTGGATTATGGTGGATTATGGGAGTTTATAGATGGCCTGCTATTAGGAGGTGGGCCTGAGGGGGAGGGAAGTCACTGGGGGTGTGACCAGGAAGGGTATCTCTCCCTCCCACGCTCTTCCTCTCTTTCCTGGCTGCCATGATGTGAGCAGTTTTTCCCTCCGCCATGCCCCTCTGCCATGCTGTTTTCTTTGAAGCCAGCAGCACTGAGCCAAAATAAACCTCTCTTTAAGTTGTACATGTCAGGTAGTGTGCCTCAGAGATGAGAACGTAACTAAGACGTGCCCCTAAAGATTGCCCTAGTACTGTATTCACTTTGCTTTCAGAATTATAACTCAACTATGTCATCAGATTACAATAAACTTTTCTGAAAAGTCATTTTCCTGTGGATTTTGTGTAACATATCTGACATTCAAAGGATTACACAAAAATAAGCAGGAAGTACCAGGCTTGTGGCTTTAAAGGGTAGAAGGAAGCTCCTCCAGATCCATGCCAGACACTTTCCTCCCAGGCTGGCAGCAGGGCCCTCCTGTCCCCAGGTCCTGCATGGGGCATGGGCAGGACTTGGAGCTGACGGAGGGCTGCAGCACATGCCTCCCGGGGTGCAGAGGGAGGCGCTTCTGAAGGCCAGCTCGGGAAAGCTCAGTAGCCAGCCATCCGCAGCTGTAAAGGAAGCCCCAGTGTGACCTGTGTCCCAGGGTGAATCAGGGAGGATGGAGCCTTTGTCTCAGAGAGTCGCTCTTCGGCTCCGCTCAGCCAGCGCAAATCCTGGGCCCCAGCACAAAGCTACCTCCTAGAGCTGATCAAGACACCTGGATCCTTTATGTAACTCTGGAGCTGTGTTAATGAGGTCGGGGGTGTCATCTCTCTGTGAAAGCTGAGTGTGCCCTTCTTGTTGGACCATCACCTCTGCTCTTCCTACTTTGAATAAGACCCTCACAGGGTCTCTTGAGCTAAATATCCAAGACCCAGGCATGACCACTAGCCCCATGGTTATAGCTTCAGTGGGCTCTAAAGTCTCCCTCTTTTTTAGTGTGGAGGAGAAAACATTGATTTGCAGGTACGTGAAAAGGAAACCAGAATACAGACTTGGTTCGAGGCTTGATATTCAGGGATATTTTCCATCTTGAATAGCATGCTAAACTCCGCTCATCCTGGAAGAATCAGGCTGTCACGGAGTTCCCTTTGTCACACATTTGGGCCCCACCCATTCCTACTCCTCTACAGGGTCCCAGCTGCCAGGCCAGGCCCAGGGACTCGGGTCTGAGACCCAGCGTCCACCAAAGGCCAGGCCTGCCCTGGCCTCCCTGAGGTGCCCTGCTGACCACTCAGCCCTGATGAGCCAGCCCTGGGTGGACTTCATGGGAGCTGAAATTCCCTTGATTTCCACCAAAATTTCTTCTCTTTGGTGTCTCTTCTCAGCTCCTGCAATTTTAGATTTTATATTTCTGTATCTTTGTAGAAATTTATTTTTGAATAATAACCACCTGCTACAAAATTTAAAAATACAGAGAGCATGGACTGTAAGAAAGGCTTCCCCCCTTGCCAACTCTGGTTAGCAGAAGGATGAAAAGGTTGGCCCCAGTACCCATCTCTAGACTCGGACTTGCTCTGCCCACGCCTTTAACCCTGTTTTAAAATAGCCTGTGAGGGCCAGGGATGTAGCTCAGTGGCACCGCACCTGCCTGGCAAGCTCAAGGTCCTGATATAATTCCTGGTACTGGAAAATAAACAAACAAATAAATAAAATAGTCTTAGGAAACTTCATTTCCTTTTAGCTGCCAATGTTTATTGCTGAAGATTTGGAAAAAATCCAGAAATGTATAATGAAATAAAAATCACTACAAAATCCACCATCCCAAACATTGCTGTTAAATCTGGTATATTTTCTGTAGAACTTCAAATGTTACGTGTGTGCATTTCTAACATATTTGCATTTTTACTCTATATACCTCTTTACACATTTTTATCAGTTAATATTTTAATATTTAATGATTTTAGTGTTATTTCAAATCCTTGTGCACATCTGTAATGGCTACATAGCATTCCATGGTACTGAACCAGTGAAATATACAAGTGTTTCCTTTATGCAGACTTTTACTATTATAATTTTGCTGTGAACATTTTTGTGTTATTCTTTTCATACTTTGAATTTTTCTCTCCCTTCCTTTCTTGCTTTCTTTCTTTTTTATTCTGGGAATTGAACTCAGGACCTTGTGCTTGCCAGGCAGGCACTGCACCACTGAGCTATATCCCTGGCCTGCCTGCCTGCCTTTCTCTCCCCTCCCCTTTCCCTTTCCCTTTCTCTCTTTCTTTCTTTCTTTTTTTTTTTTGGTACTGGGGATCGAACTCCAGTC